ACGTGGTTCTTGATCACAGTGAAGAAATGCTTCGAGTTAAACTCGCTGAGTATGTTTTTAGAGTTAAAATACTCTGGAAAACTCACTCTGATACTGCAATCAACTCAACTACACTTCTCGCAGATTATATCTCTATTGATGAAACTAATAATTCTAGATTGAATTCTCACTGAAGCCGTATCGAATCCACTCTATATTCCTAAAATTTTAATAAAATAGTAATTCAGATGACTCCATTCACAAACAATTGCAATAGAATTCATACTAGTACGTGTTTACTGACACTATAGTGAACTTGAATGTTCCACTCTTGTCGATTAAATTAACACTCTATCATTGTTCAATTCAATCTAAATACGATTAAATATCAATCTATACAGTTTCAGATCGTTTAGTCTACTGGATAGTGAAATAAAGTATAAACTATAAAGTTAAATCATTTACCCTAAAGCTTAGTGGTCTTCCTGGGAATAGGTATTGTGTTACATTTAACTCTATTTTTTTTACTGTTTAATAGCTCCAAAGTGTACACTGAAAAAACTCGGCCAAGTAAATCGTTAATTTGAAAAAAAGTCGATTGTGACAAGTACATTTTCACCAACGGTAGGAAAATTAGGTACTTGAAGTAGACAAAGTAATATTTCTGAAGCAATGTTCCTGCTGTAAGTGATCAGGACACTTATTGCTGGTATTAACCAAATCGATAGATATTTTGAGAGGTCGCTAATTATAAGTGGCAATTAAACTAGTGCTGTTAATGAGTACTCATCATTATTAAATTATTATTCTGAGACAAAATCACTTGCTCTGAGCGAACTCATCGATGAAGACATTCTATCAAGTCGATTGGTGCAATGACTTCACCTGTGGTTATACATCTCTTCTCCGTTCGGACATCTCCGATATATTTCGGGTGCCCACGCCCACTTCCACTGTCCACGGCTCCATTATGATCTTAGCATTTCTGATGTAAACATGCCTCCTCGCTAGTATATACAATTGAAATTCCAAGTCATGCAAAAGTGACCTTCTGAACAGTGAAGCTTTTTAGTTTGTGTGCCGTAAAGTGTTGAGTTCTTCATGATCTGTTATTCTTCTGACTTGGTTTATTATGATTTCTCACAGAAAAAGTAATCGAATTATCTAAGTATTTAGGAAAATTTATTGCATTGCAATGCAAGCTTTTACGGACCTAATATGTTCATATTATGATACATTCTACTCTTCTCTGATGTCCTAATGCAAATAAAAACACGGTAGAACTGCACTTATCGAATTTGATAATGGAAATGTGAACAAACCATTATTTATCAAGATATTCCACTATAAAGTTACATATATTTCACCTTCTTTTCCGCTTGTCTTTTGGATCACATTTGTATAGAACAATTTGCCCTTCTTTTTCCATCATTGGATGGATTGGGTTGGATTTGTATATCAAAATGTACTTCAATGACATATTTTTTTCTCTTATATGAGTTAACTAGAAATACGATTTTCTTGCGATTTATCCATATTTAAGTATAGTGAAAGAAGAAAGAATATCATTTAATATAATGGCGTGTATAATGTCAAAAACTCGTCATAAAGATTATATTTCATGTTAAAAATGTGTCATTGAAGTACATCATCATAGTCATTATTCCAAATTTTTTGGGATTTTCTCTCCTCGTTTCTATAAAATAAAAATATGAATATTATTTCAATATACGTGTAGTAAGGACAAATCAGATGATTTGCCCCAAAATGTCACTGCGTTTAAAGAATTTTCCTATCAGAGAGCCTAAAAGAAAAATTCACTAGCTTGTCAGTGACAATTTGTATTGAAAAGCTTCAAGACATTATACGACTTCGCTATTGAAATAATCTCTTCTTATGTTGAAAACGGGAGCAGAACCGGTCCCGAAACGTCCAAAGATAAGTGAAAGTTTGATATTTTTTCTATATACCTTCATTTCCCTTCTCCAAAAATTTTTTCAATACAAATTGTCACTGACAAGCTAGTGAATTTTTCTTTTAGGCTCTCTGATAGGAAAATTCTTTAAACGCAGTGACTTTTTGGGGCAAATCATCTGATTTGTCCTTACTACACGTATATTGAAATAATATTCATATTTTTATTTTATAGAAACGAGGAGAGAAAATCCCAAAAAATTTGGAATAATGACTATACCACCTCCTCGATTAACCTACAGACAGTATTTTACATCATCATAGTATATACAGGGTGTCCGGAAATTATGCGCAAAAAATCAAGGGGGTGATTCTGCATGAGAAAATATGAAATTTATTTCATATATACTTGAGTCCGGAAATGCATAGTTTTCAAGATACAGTGAGTTAAACTTTTTAGAAAAAATCGTTTTTTTATGAATATCTTGAATATTCTTTCACCAATTCTCTTGAAATTCGGTTATGATATTCTTTGTCATGAGGGGCTGATTTAGCCATTTTTAAATTAGAATTGTGAAATCCAGTAGCGTCCCGGGGGCACCCTACCGAATATTTTTGTCAATAAAATGTGCGCCCCTGATTTTTTTAAATTCTCTACCTCCATATCCTAATGATCAACAAAAAATACAACATTTTAGTCTCTTGAATTATTTTGCAATTTTGCTGCGTTTCCGTGGAAAAAAATAAATACCAATTCATTGTATAAATTTGTGCAAAACATTGCTTCACAAACAGGGGTGAAATTAAATGTGTTATCCATGTCCATAGACGTAGAATAAGAATTGAGATTCATTTTCTTCAAATATTGTTTGACACACTTTGTATTATCGAAAACTACGCCTTCCTGAACCGAGAATACATAGTTCTCAATATACAGAGTGTAGAGTGTGTCAAACATATGTACCTATCAAGGAATATTTGAAGAAAATGAATCTTCATACTTATTCGCTATCTATGGACAGTTTTTTAGGGAATTTTTTGGCACAAATTTATGCAATAAATTGGTAATTATTTTTTTCCATGGAAATGAAGCAAATTATCAAAATAATTCAGGAGTCCAAAATGTTGTATTTTTAGTTGGTCAATAGGATATAAAGATACAGAATTCAAAAAAATCAGTGGCGCACATTTTATTGACAATAATATTCGGTAGGTTGCCCCCCGGGACGCCACTGGATTTCATAATTCCAATTGAATTATGACTATATCAGCCCCTCATGACAAAGAATATCATTGCCAGATTTCAAGAAAATTGGTAGAAGGACATTTGAGATATTCATAAAAAACCGATCTTGTTTAAAAGTTTTAACACACTGTATGTTGAAAACTATATGCATTTCCGGACCCACGTACATATGAAAAGAACTTCTTATTTCGTCATGTAGATTCACCCTCTGATTTTTTGCGCATAATTTCCGGACACCCTGTATATAAAGTGTCCAATGACATCAAAATAGGAAGAGCAAGTAGCTGTAAATGCATCCAACACAGGGGGAAAATGAGGAGAAATTTCGAACATATTCTTGAAATATCTCGATAAATAGTGGTTTGTTCACATTATTTTCAAATTCGTGGCAAAAATACGTAAGTCCAAAGAAAAAAATTCGAAAAAAAAACCATCGCATGATAAGTGCAGTTTCACCAAAAACTGATATCCCCCTTTATATTTATTTTTGGCACACTCCATTACGAATTTTCACTTTTTGTATCCTTTGAAGCGCACGAAATAAAATCTCTATAATGTTCGTAGACTATAGTGCGTGCCTTGGGAGGATAGGGAGGGGAGGTATAGGTATTGGATTTTTTTTCGAACTTTTGGGTTTGTTACATTTTTGTTGAATCTGGTGCAATTCACGGATGATTTGATTTTGGTACAACCATTGAGTATTTATATAATCAACGGTACAACATATTTTCACTTTGGGACAACACTGATATCGTGGATATCGCCGTAGTCGCCGTTAATACTTCCGTAATACTTCCTACATACTTCTAGGTTGGTGGCGACATCTCTCGATCAACATCTTCATCATTGCTAGATTTTATGTTTAGCAAATCTGCCGCCAGTTGTGATGTTTGTGATACTTAGAGGCTATCATAGTTGCGTGTAAGTTTTGTAAAAATAAGAAGACTTTAACAATTGACATCTTCAATGGTTCAAATTCAAATCAGTGTTGGCTGTATGTCACATGATGAGAGGCGAGGAAGTTAAGAAGAAGAGGAAGCAGTGTTGTTCTTGTCATTACTTTTGTAATAGATCTATTACTATTTCACGAAGGTTGTTACGTTATTACGATTTGTCATGGATCTATTACTATTTGCTGTTATCTCCAAAATATGATGGTTGATCTATTTCTGTGTGCGAATGATTATGTTCTGCTCTATAGGTCTATGTTTCATATAGATCATTCTAGAACACGTGATTTTGACATGGTTTCTTGAGGGGCACACAAACTATCTGTAAGGTTACCTTTGATGTTGATGAGCCAGAGATCAGTCACCCATTGATCTCTGGATGAGCATAGCCCTGGCCAATGGCCATCCCTGCCACATCCACAATATAATAACGGTTTCACCAAACAAAATTATGAAATTCTTTCGGGTTCCAACTCAGATTCCAAGGAAAACGATCCCACTAATTTTGGTTTCATGTGACAAATCTTGACGGAATACAATGTTTGCCCCTCAGCAACCTGTCAAGTGACGTAATTCTGGAATGATCAATTCATGTCATAAATTCTGTGTTATTTTTGCCTCATTCCTGTCATGAATGTCGATCGACCGGAATGTCAAATGTCAGACTTTTCCAATCTATTACCTTTTGATTCAAATCTGTTACCTTTTTCAAAGGAAATCTGGTACGAAAACTTTAGACCTAGGAACAAAACTGATTCAAATTGCCATTGTCAAAAAATGTCAAATGGCAAGTGTCAACATAAAATCATTTGATTAATAATTTTCAATTATCTTTAATTATAATTCTGAATTCTATTCTTTGAATGTATCAGAAGTACACTAATTATTAGTAATATTAGTTGAAGTTCTTTATCATTATGGAAAATTCTTCATTGAACAAGGTAAGTCGTGAGGTGTCCTTTGTTTTGTTGGCATTGTTTGGCATGGTTTTATCTAGGGCAAGGGCAACAACAAACAGGAATTCAATCCATATTCCAACTAAAAATCTATTATTTCAAGGCACACCAACAGCAAAGAAGGGCAGAGGCTCTTTTGAGACAGAAGAAATTTGATGACTGCATTGAGTGTCACAAACAGGCTGCAGATCTTTTAGCAGATGCCTTCAACTCTACAGAAAACATTAGATCATTGGAATCCTTGAGGCTACAAAGAGAGTATCACCAGAAGCAGATTGACAAGGTTAAAATGAAAAAGTCCCAGGCACAAATGGAACAATACAAGAAGTCTCTACATATACAAAAAAGAAAAAACAATGAACTTCAGGCTCAAGATGGAGAAGGTGGATTAGAAGCTGCAATTTATAGGACAATTGAAGTACATGATTCATTGATTGATTACTTAGGTAAGTAGGGACAAGTCATGAGTTAGGGGTGTGGATGTCAATTTTTGTATGCATCATAGGTAAAAGAGGTGGTAGTGACAATGATAGTCTTAAATCATACTCCACCAGTGACACAGAGGAAAAGCTGGATAAGGAAACCTGCACACAAATAATTGGCAACAAGCACCCAAAAGATGATGCACAGATAATTGAAGAACTGAAAGTGCTTAGTGGACAGTTGAGAGATTCAGTGCAATGTCTCCTGGTACAGTTGGATGACCGTAACAAAGAAATTGAAACTCTTAGGGCTACTATAAGGGAGCTAGAAAATGACAAACTAAAAGGTACCAAAATTTGTTGTTGAGCTACCATTTCTTCATTTTGTGTACTGTTTTTGTTTTCCTCTCATTGTACCAACCTGGAGAATGGTATGTTTTGCTTCATAAGGGCTGTGGCATGCTGTCAAAGAAATAATGGGAAGTCATATCATGTTCTTTTCAATCCCTATTTTTCACAATGCAGTTTCATTACCTAACTTTATGGTATGTAGGCTAAAATATAACAAATATTCAATTTATTTCAATTCATTCAGAATCAATGCTCCTCTGTCTATTATTCAAATAATTATTTACAATTTTAGATGATCCCTGTCAAAATGTATAGGTTGCAACCACCAAAGTTTGATCTGCTTGCTAATAAAAATATTTTATTGTCTGGCTACCAGTAGGAGTGAAAGTACATTTTTTTGCCAGCAAACCAGTTGTAACACTGGTTTGACTTCAAGCCTAGGTAGTAGAATGGTTTCTTTTACTTCTTGATCAGTATCAGCTATGAAAACCTAGATCAGGAGGTAGAATATAGTTTTTTTTGTAGTTCACCAAAAAGGTTTCTAAAATAGTTTTATAATTCTCAAATAATACCCTACAGGTACCCATTTTTTTAGCCCTTGTAAAGGGATTCAGTTTATTTATTCTGATACTTTCCACATGTTTCCATTTTTCATGGAAAATAAGAAAGTGTTCCTTTTTCAATTTGATTGTTATGTATGCATTGGCTGTCTCAATTTCAATGAGAAAAACCAAGGTGTAAACCACAGTGGAATTCTGGTGTACAAACAACTGGAATTTCTTGGATTACTTTGGAATTCTCTGGAATTCCTTTGGTGAAATGCAGTATATTCCTGGGCTACAAACAACTGGAATTCCGTGGATTTCCTTAGAATTCCTTGGAGTCCTTTGGATTTCCTTTAATTTCCTTGGAATTCTTTGGGTTTCCTTGGAATTCTTTGAGTGAAGTGCGGTTTAATTCTGGTGTACAAACAACTGGAATTCCTTGGAATTCCTAGGAATTTTTTGGATTTGCTTGAATCTCCTTGGATTTCCTTGGAATTCCTTTGAATTCCTTGGATTCCCTTGAAATTCCTTGGATTCCCTTGAAATTCCTTGGATTCCCTTGGAATTTCCTGGAATTCCTTGGAGTTTCTTGGAATTCCTTGTGTGAAATGCGGTATAATTCTGGTGTACAATCAACTGAAATTTCTGGGAATTGCTTGGAATTGCTTGTGAAATTGAAGTTTGCTGTGCATAATTTTGACCGGGGTCTACCCCACAAGAAAAACTTGACCAAAATGCTAGTTTTCTCAGTATAAAGTTAATAAAAAGGCTGGAAAATATTACCTACACAGTAAATCATATATCAATTTGCTACATTTATGAGTTGAAGTTAAATATACAAGTTGATCTGCATTTGACTAATGATGTCCACGACGATATTCTAAAATGAAACACCCTGTATCTATTATTCAATTTTAGGAATCACACAGTTCTTTTATACAGTGTGTTCATTAAAATCAGTAGTGGATAAATTGAGTTGCTATTAAAGAAATAGAATCATTCTGCATGAATCAATGAAATTTGAAGAAGTTCTTGAATTGAAATGAAATTCGACGGCCTGGAGCGTTCTTTCCAAAAATTATTCCTTTTTTTAAATTTATCCACTAGGTACAGGGTGATTCACCATAAATGTCCCCCCCTCTAGCTCACTCATTTTTGAACCGATTTGAAAATTTAAAAAATCATCTAAAATGATTTTTCAGAATTTTTTTTCCTGTTGCATCAGAAAATACAGGGTGCTCGGAACAAACGATCTACAAAGTACTACTTGATTTTTTCGAATGGAACACCCTGTATTCCACTTTTTTAGATGTTCCCTGAAGAGCTGATTTCATCAATACATCACACTTGTGCTCTAGCGGAAATGATTACAGAAATATAGGGTGTTCAAAATCGAGATTTTTCAACTTGAGGGTTTTTTTTGTGTCGAAACTATTCATTATTGGTCAAAACGGCTTCAATGTCACTATCTCAACATTTAATTTACTATTTACTGATATTTAATTGGAACATATACAGTGTGGTTCAAGATTCAGAATTCTGATCACCCTGTATCTGTTCCAATTATCAAATGTCAGTAGATAGTAAATCAGAAGTTGAGATACGATCATGAAAGTCTTTTTGACCGATAATGAATAGTTTCGCCACAAAAAAAACCTAAAGTTGAACAATCTCGATTTTGAAGACCCTATATCTCTGTAATCATTTTCGCTAGACCCCAAGTGTGATGCATTGATGAAATCAGCTCTTCAGGGAGAATCTGAAAATACAATGAAAAAGAGGGTGTTTCATTTGAAAAAAATCAAATAGTACCCTGTAGATCGTTTGTTTCGAGCACCTTGTATTTTCTGATGTAGCGGAAAAAAACTCTATCGAAAATCATTTCAGATGATATTTAAGATTTTGCAATCGGTTCAAAAATAACTGAGCTAGAGGGTGAATCACCAATTTACCAAAACACTGAGTCCAACAGACACAATGTATCCAAAGTCTATGTGTGATATATTTTTGAATCCAACTCTATATCCATTCCGAAAATCAAATAACATACCTAGGGTGTTCCATTTGAACAAAATTTCGCGGACGTCATTACTCAAACGTGAATCACCCTGTTTATTTAATTTTCCCCCATAAATGTGGTGAATAGAGATCATAAATTGACTTGTTTCAGGAGATTTTTTAGAAATGGATAGTTTGGCTAAAAAAGAATCTGATACTTTACAAAAGCACTGTATGATATGTCATTCTACTATCATATATATTATATACTAGATAAAAATCAGTCATTTTGTAAATTAACCAAATTTCATTCAATCTCAGTTAGTCACTGCTTTAATTATTATACAGTATAGACAGTTCTTTGGCAATATATAAATAGAATCGTAAATGAATTCATTTTAATGATAGCTTATGAATCGATCAAAAATACTTCTTCCACCTTGTTAGAAGCAATATATGCCGAATTGTCAATACTGAAAAGACTGCCACCCTTATGAGCAAAATTATCAAGACCCTAATAATTGTAACCAACCAGAATATCCAACAGAAAATGAGCAGGCTTGGCACAATTCTCTTGGCTATTCAATCTCATTATAGTTCAGTGCACTTCACATTTTATTCATTTTTTTTTACTTCACCTGTAGATTAGATTAGATTCTGGCTCCATCTGGTCCATATCATCCTATGATCGGATTTTTTTATATTTCTTGCAGCCCAGGCAAAAAATAATTCGAGCTTGAAAGTTGTTACGGATTCATCAGGGGGCACATCTCCATATGTGTTTTCGCCGTGTAGTGAAATAAGTCCTGACATAGGTAATGAAACAAGAAATTTGCCCCCTTTGGCGCCCCTTGAAATGCCCAATTTCGATTTTCTCAGTCTCATAACCAGCAACAGCAAGAACAATAACGCGAATTGAGATGAATACTCAGGGGCGTCGATAATTTTTTTCTTGTAGGGGGGGGGGGGTAAAAACTTTTTGGTTCAGGTAATGAAACAACATCATGTTATAGAAATCCATAAATAATATACAGTGAGGTGAGGACGTAAAAATTCTTCCGTCTCCTTCCCCCATTTTTGAACGGAACAAGGAACAAGCTAGCAAGGTCGGGTAAAGTTCATTCATAACATCTTTTACTAATTTTCGGCATGAAAATGGTTGTGGTCACGTGGCACTATCAATTTTTTTTTTTTCAAATGTAAATAGGGGTCACGTGGTACCTGGTTTTGAAGGCCGTTTCAAACTGCGTTTGAAATTCACCTCGGAAACATAAAAAATAACGTTTGGAATGATTTTTTCGTGTGTCTATAAGTGAACGGTAAACATTTCGAGCATTTTTAAGCACTACCTCCACTTTTACAATTATTGTTACTTAAAATTTTGTTGCTTCTTCGTTTGAATCCGAATACTAGCGCCTGGAGAAACATAATCAGCGCGGCTACAGCGACTAAACTCTTTTTTCCTATTATCACAGTTACTACAACTCGTGGCGTAGTTGATTGTGCGTTTGAATCCCACGTCAGCGACCCGGGTTCAATGCCTGCGACGGTCGGCTTTTTTAAAATTCTGTTTTCTCAAGTGATTTTCCAAAAAATATAATCTTAAATAAGAAGGTTCATAAGGCCGATTAAGGTTAGATGGTTTTAAAAATGTAGTGTCCTTTTTTATGAAGGAGGGATATTTTCCTATTATGGAGGCATTTACTGTTGAGAAAAAGTTTTGACAAAATTATTTTCTGGAGTGAAGGTTTCTTTTGGCCGAGTTAGATTGTGTTGCTTTAAAGAATAGTCTCTTTTCACTCCCATGTGAATTCATGAAAATGCTATTTTCTTCTTTTTGGGTTATCCTATCAGTTCAAGATCATTGAAGGACTTTCTTCCTAAAGTTAAAGAAAATCAGCACCCACCACTATTCTATTTTATGACGCAGACTCCGCAGATGCAAGTTTCAAAAACCAGGTACCACGTGACTCTCCTTGACATTTGACACTAGGCCACGTACTGAGTACCTTGTAAAAGAAGTACCTTTTCACTTGAGTTGTACCCGACCTCGCTAGCTCGTTCCCGTTCAAAAGTTGAAAGGGAGGAAGGCCTTTCAACTTCTTTACTGTATATTAGAATTAGAACCAAAACGAAACTTCTTTAATGGACAAACAAATCATAAAGCAAGCAGTCATGAACATACAGGGTGTTTCATTATTGAATGTTAAAATTCGAGAAGGCGATTCTTGGGCCCATTCTTAGAAGAAAGTTTCACATGAATGATTTCAATTTCGAGATTAATCAGTGGCGTATCATCAATGTCTGCCAAAATAGGTATGTGAAATTCCATTCGAACGCCACTGGTGGCAACCAAGAAAAATGTGCTACACTAACTGATGCCTCTTGATACATAGTACATGTATGCCAAATTTCATTAGAATATCTGAAGTGGTATTACAGATATTATATATTGACATTCAATTATGAAACACTCTGTATACTTCTATTATATCTATTACCTATCTTGCAAATTATTATTATTCTTGGGGAGGGGGGTAATTACCGCCATAACTTCCCCCATATCGACGCCCTTGTGAATATTTACTATTCTTAGGTAAATGTCAATTTTAGTAATTTTAGCGGGAAAATATACAGGGTGTCTCTAGAAGGTCCGCGTAGACAACGCAACAAACAAGCGTGTTTATAGGTCGTATTAGTCGGAGAACCGGTTACAAATTTCGGCCGTCATTTGATAACGAAATGACATATATGTACAGTGTGTCCCAGCTAAAACTTGTCACCGCTTCTTATCTCCGAAGTCGATGAAAAAGTTGGAAATCGCTCGAACAGATTGATTCAAATTTGGCGGGGGACACATTTTTCTGCAATTATCATATTCCAAAGTTGAAACCTTGAATTCGCTTGAAGCGTTAACGGGCATCAACTTTCGATTTTCAAATGGAACACCCTGTATTTCATTGCATTTTTCAACTTCAGGATTTTTTTGTGTCGAAACTTTCCATTATCGGTCAAAACGGCTTACATGTCTCTTAATTAATTTTTGGTTTACTATCTACTGACATTTAATTGGAACAAATACAGGGTGATCAGAATTCTGAATTTTGAACCACACTGTATTTGTTCCAATCAAATGTCAGTAAATAGTGAATCAATTAATATCGGGACATGAAAGCCGTTTTGACCGATAATGAATAGTTTCGACACAAAAAAATCCTAATGTTGGAAAATCTCGATTTTGAACACCCTATATCTCTGTCATCATTTTCGATAGACCCCATACATATATGAAATCAGCTCTTCAGGGAGAATCTAAAGATGCAATGAAATACAGGGTGGTTCACTTGAAAATTTAAAGTTGATGCCCGTTACGCTTAAAGGTATCAACTTTGGAATATTAAAATTATAGGAAAATATGATCCTCGGCAAATTGAAATCGACCCGTCCCAGCCATTTTCAATTTTTTCAACGACATCGGAGAAAAAACGTAAAAACGGTAATTCTGTATTTATCACACGATGTTTTTTTTTTCGAAAATATTTTTTGTTGCCAACTCATTTTTGCCTGAGAAACAGGAATAATGAAAATGTGAACAAACAACTATTTATCAAGAGATTCCACGAAGAAGTTCGAAATTTTACCTCCTTTTTTCGCCTGTCTTGGATACGCATTTTTATTTTTCGATATACTTCAAAGACACGTTTCAAATATGAAAATCGACTTGCTGTTTTTTCATATTTAGTGAACAATCACACCAGCTAATGTCTATTTTGCTGTTCATTTATCATGTAAGGACTGACAAATATGCAAGAATTCATTTTCACCGTTGGTAAATGAGGAAACTTTTATTTTTTCCTGAAATTTCATATCACACAACTAGTTTCAACATTTAAAGTGGAAAAAAGATCGAAGAAGACTGAAGGAGGAAAAAATACAATACAGTATGTTTTATATGCCTTTGGAAATTATAATTTGGTTATCAAATGAAGGTGGAAATTTTATTCAAATTGACTACATTTCCAAGGGTTAAACTCCATACATTTTCACAATAACACAGGTATTTGATTAAAAAAACTGACATAAGAAGAAATTGTGCTATCAGTACATGAAGTCTCATTTTCTCTTACAATTTACTGAGCAGGAGATTTTTTCCTCAGAAAGAGATGTTTATGAGGATTATTATACCTATAATTACAGTATTAATAAAGGCATCAGGACTTTTTGGTAGCTTTATGTTTGTACCGAGGTTTGTACATATCTTTTGGAGACATTCTAGTTTAAAATTTGCAACATAAATAAATTCTATTAGCTAGAACAATTAAAAATATTGGAATATTGTTGGGAAATCAATAGATTACCTAATGAAATACAATAATTCATATTCCTAGTCTTGTGAGGGTACCTGAGATGGTTGTTGAAAATCAATTAAATAGATAAATATTAAATATTATATAGCACTGTGATTATTTCTCAATATTCATAATTTTTTTCATCAATACAATAAGCTCTTGAATTGGTAGTGATGGTTTTCTCTTTTTGTCCGTGAAAATTGAAATAATTAATTCAATCGAGATTTAAATCAATGTTTTCTATACAGAGAGGACCAAAAGTCCGTCGCATCCCATATAGTAACATCTCTATTTTACGTATTACAAAAACTCCCTATATATCTCATTTACCATTTCCGCTAGACCCCAAGTGTGATGCATTGATGAAATCAGCTCTCTAGGGAGAATCTAAAAATGCAATAATATACATTAGGGTTTGCCATAGAGAACAATTCTAAGTCGATGTGCTTTTTTGAGACACTTATTCATTAAACATTTTTTTGTAATACGTAAAATGAAGAAGTAAAGAGGGGGGCGACGGTCTTTTGGTTCTCACTGTATATTTTCGTCTGTATTGATTGGTGAATGATGTTTCAAGTGATATAAGTTTATTGTTTTATCAATATCGATAAGGAAAATAAGATTCATATATTTTTAATTCCAATTACTCACCTCGTTATATCAATACCAAAATGAAATACGATTTCAAGGGGGCCTGCTTAGTTCATTCTTACTATTTGCTCATATTTGTGTACTACTTATCTATATTAGATATGATGTTTGATATTATTACAGGGTTTTTCCTGTAAACTCTTCAAATTAAATTCCTGAAGTATTCCCATACAAATATTTTTATATTATGCATTCAAAATATATTTTATCGTCCATGAAAAATATTTCAAAATGTATTTATTATTATTGTTGTTGAATCTGAATAAATTTCTGATTTTACGAAGCAAGTACTTACCAATATTCCTCCATTACTAGGATAAGATTTTGAGAATGAGGGTCTTTATGGTATTACATGAAATGGAATTCGTGCCATACTTTAGCATCATACTGTATCAATAAACATCTTGATATTTCAGGATGAAATTAACTTAGCAAATAACAAAGTGTTGATTTTCATGCAAGAAATCTCAATTAAATGGTTTTGAAGATTTATTTTGGCACAAATACAAAATAAAAATAAAATTAATTATCTAAAGTGAATAGGTACAGGAAGACAATGTGAAGCAGATATCCATATATTGTTGGTCAAATATTATCCTTGTCAAAATGAGGACAATTCCCTTCCATTTTATACAAAAGTCATGATTAATTTGTCCCTAATATCACTATCAATAAAGCATTGTTATAAAAAAGAAACGGATGTTTTCACAAAGGAACATATCCTTATATTATTTCTCTTCCACACTCCTATAATGAAAATTTCATATTTTTCCAAAAGATTTTAGAAATGATTTGCACTCCATGAACATTTTTACAGATTTATCAAGTTTGTTTCCAAATGAATGTTTTCTACCAGACTAATGCTATGGAATGTTTGATATTCCTCAATCTGAAAATTGATTTTGTTCGATTTTTTGTT